CGAATATGGACATCTGGAAGCGATAATTTGGAATTTGTTTCATTATCTATTTCATATTTTGTAAAACTTTAACGAATTTTTGATTAATAAACTTAACGCCTTCAAAGCGAGCAAATGCAACACTGTAAGGGGGGGGGATATCTCTAGCGCGCAACAGTGTATCTGTGTATCGGAAATTCTAAAGACAGGCTCATTTTAAAATTATTTTGCGATATTGCTGTTGAACTGAATTTTATGGTTTAAGTGCGAGCAACATGATATTTAATAAATAAAGATAACTCACAACCCCGAAATTTTTCGATACCCGAAACTTTTCGCGATAACAGTACTTCCTTTATTTCGTACAAAGAAGTAAGAAACTTGTTACACCTGCTTTTTATAAAAATACACGGTACTTTAATAATGTATGAAGGTGAGAAACAAGAACCTAGTATGTGATTTGTGAAGAAATACATGAAAAGTTAAATTAAGAAATTTAAAATTTTGTTTCATGATTGTAATTTTACATTTTCAAAACCGAGAATAACAAAACATGAGTAAAATTTACTTATTTTAAATACTGTAGGAGGATCTGGACCCTTTCCTGAAAGTGGAGCCTATGGCTCATATCCTTTTTGCTTTTGCACAAATAACCCCTACTGTAAATAAAAATTATCTCGTTCATTCTTTGATGATTAAGCTTAAAACAGCTGGTGGAAGACATACTTGTTATTGGTTTTAAAGTCACGATCTTATTTAGTTAGCATAGTTAGCTATTTTTAATTAACTTAGAAAATTTTCTAGGCATGTCCGACGATTAATTACAGTCATGATGACGATGACAATGATAATTCTGCTCCTTCTAATAATAATAACATTATCAAATTTTTACTCTGCAGTTAGTTTCTCTTTTCTTTATGTCAAAGTATTTCTCATCGGCAAAGAGAAGCATTCTTCTTCTGCCTGGTCAGTTTTGGACACCACTACGCCTTAATTGGTTAATCCTAAGCGTTCGTGAAGCGAAAAACGGCTAACCGAAGCTTAAGCCGATAAGTTAAATTTAACTAATAGGGAAAAGCAAAGCAGAATGACCATCCACCAACGCTGGGTTCAGATTTTTAGAGGCCCTAAGTACATAAGAGATTTTGGTGTCCTTCACGCATACATTTATATTACATCGCGTTTTTTTCTACATTCCTTCTCTCGTGGTCTTGGTCTAGCTGCACCATAAATTTAATCGTTAACCTGGAAATTTTTGTGCTGTTCCCTTTTATGGATGTTCTGAGCACGTGCTTATTTTGTTTAATAGTTAATTCAGCTCTGCTCTTAAATCAGCCTGTGCTGCTAAGTGTTCTATGTCTAAACTATTGTAAACTATTAGTACCGTAGTACTAGTAGATAGTAAACTAGTACTCGTAAATAGAAAAACTAGCATTTTATACTAGTAAATAGTACACTAGTACTAGTAAATAATAAACTAGTACTATTAAAAAACTAGTGTTCTGTGTTTAAACTGTAGACATAGAACACTAGTCCTAGTAATAAACTGTAGACATAGACACTAGTCCTAGTCCTAGTAAGTAGTAAACTAGTACTTTGTACTAGCAAATAGTAAATTAGTACTAGTAAAAAAATAGTGTTCTACGTCTAAACTGTAGACATAGAACTACGCTTATTTATACTTTAACTAATTTGAATTCCGGTGCGAAATGATGAAGGCTAAAATAATAAAATAACTAGGTTAATTAACATAAAACTTTGCACAATCAGATATACAATCGAACCCTGCTATAACGAGCCCCTGGATATAACGAACTTACTTGTCAAATTTCCTACATAGTTATTGTTAATAATTTCCTAATAATAATTTATCATAATTACCATATTAATAATAATATCATAATAACAATTTACTGTAATTAATATATTAATAATTTTCTAACAATAATGTAATATTAATAATATAATATAATAAATTTCTACTATAATTACTATATTAATAATAATTTTATAATGACAATTCACTGTAATTACCATACTGATAATAATTTAATAAGTTACTATAGCGAATTGTGAAAGGTATGCAAATCGGATATAAACAACCATATGGATACTAATTCAGAAGTCAAACAACAAAAATCAGCGTTATATTTACATTGCGGTCATTTGCGGTTTTGCAGCTGAGGATGGTGGTTCGGTAAAACCATCGAATTTAGTCCTGTGAAAATTTTGTAAATACAACGCTGATTTTTGGTGTTTGACTTCTGAATTAGTATTTATTCGGCGTGTTATTGTGTCTTAACCATATGGATATCTTCGATTAGAAACATTTTTGTAATTTTTCTAGAATTTCTGCAATTTTTAATGAAAAAAATCACTAAGCCTTAAAATCATCCACGTTTAGGACGCTACGATTCACATTCCATCCATTAACGATAAACGCCTTTACAATCCTTTACTTTTTCAACTCAATTTTTCTTTGTATTCTGAAGAAAGTGTATGCGAAACAGGCGTGACATCCAGTCTAAGACAATGAGGACATAATAAGCAAATCTTAGGATACCATACTTTTTATAGTGTATTTGACCACTGAACCAAAGAATGGAAATAAGTTTTTCGATTCCTTTCAAATTCCTTGTCTGAGTTGTCAGACAGAACCCTATTCACGGATGATACTATGATAATATTTTGAAATAATTGCTGTTCAGAAAAAGAGGAAATATTGAATCACGCGAATTTGGTTTTGGTTTATACAGTGGATTTGCCTTTTAGAAAATGAAATTTTTTGGTTGTATTCTTTAAGTCTTTTGAAAGACATAGGACACTTTTTCTTTACAAAAGTTATTGAACATTTTGAACGATATATACATTAAATAAAAGTTAAAGGTAAATTCATCAGTATTTTCTTTTATTCTTTTCATACAATTTATTTTGTTCGTTTTATGAGATAATCCATTTTCCCTATTGAACCTGATATAGCGAACCACCATGTAAAGCCAACCAAACTTCTGATCACTTGAAGTTCGTTACAGCGGAGTTTAATTGCAAAATTAAAATAAAATAAAATAAAAAAACCTGGAAGCTTTCAGATTTTATATTACAGGGGCGTTCTTTTTTTAAACTTTATTTATTAAATATCATGTTCTGCGCACTTAAACCACAAAACTCAATTCAACAGCAATATCGCAAATTAATTTTAAAATGAACATGTCTTTAGAATTTTCCCCGTACAGTGTTGCCATTGCTCGCTTTGAAATCGTTTGAGTTTCTTAATCAAAAACTCATAAATGCTTTACAAAATATGAAATAGATAATAAAACAAAATTCCAAATTTCGGCTTCCAGATGCCCATGTTCGAGTGGAGACGTAGGTTATTCAAAATTTCATGGCTCTAGGTACCATCATTTTATTACAATGCGAGCAACATACATACATTCATGCAGATTCTTCATTATTTAATATCTTCAAATATAAATTCAAAAAATTAATATCTTTAAATATAAATTCAAAAGATTAATATCTTTAAATATAAATTCAAAAGAAAACGTCTTTTCTTTTGTCGAATGGGAAGAAGTTGAAAATTGGTAAAGAGTAGGGACGCATGGAAGATAATTTAAAAACTTTATGTTTCGTCCAGTGGCAACGCTTGCAAGCATGGGGATAACATATTCATGCTAGGAAACTGTAATTCATTCATTACGTAAGGTAACTGTCTGGAATTTTTTGGTAAGTCTTCACTACAGACGTTTCAAATAACGCGAAGATGAGCTCTTCCTAGAGTAGTGACGTAAGAGAATCATCGATTTATCAGTTCGTAGCACTCATTAAATTGTTCGTCGCGTGGCAGTGACGCTGTGTCTCGCCGTCAATCACATTTACTGCAGAGAAAGAGAACATCCGCCTGTTATCTGTGCTATCAGATGATCTATTTTCCTTCCCTTTCTTTGTTTTTCATTGTTTATCTTCTTTTTTGTTTTTTACTCTTCTCTTTTTTCGCTTTCTTCCTACCCTGCATTAATATATCAAGGTCGTTTTTCTCAATAAGGGCGTGGAGTGAACATTTTTCCCGCCAACGCAGACTGACGGAAGTGACAGTCCTTCATTCATTCATGGAGAAGCCCGGTGACGTCACGTCACGTATTTGGAACACTAACGTACTCGCATTTTTCCTCCTGTCGTGTTCGTCGTATGTGTTTTTCTCTGAATGAATGGCAGCTGGTTTGAATGAATAATTAATAGTGGGGCCACACGATAGCTTCCTGCCACGTAGGGATACATTTTCAGTTGCGAGTTATATCATCTGTTTGGAAACATTTAAACGATTCGAATTAGTATGAAATTAGTATTAGAACAACATTTTAAAAGTCTGAGATTTAAAAAAAACTGCGAATCCGAAAATGATTATAAAATATCAAATTATGATTTTAATAAAATTTATCACATATTTTAAATTTATCATATACCCATCAACATTAGACAATAACACGTTATTTTATAATGATATTTTGTAAATTTATTAATACATTATCATTTATGATAAACATATTCATTTCGGTTTTTAGACATTAAGTGATAAATTTTATTTTTATTCGTTTTTATTCAAAGGTACATTAAATGACGGTATATTGATATTATTACTCTGTTATATATACTTGCTATAATTTTATTATAATAATTTGATCCATTAACGCGTATATCTTTCCCGAATCGATTGCTTTTTTTTCAAGATAATAATGAAATTTAACAAAAGGAGCTATATTAGTTAATGTAATTTTTCCATGAAAGGTTTCTAAAGTTAGCAAAATTTGCCATTTTTTTAACTAATTAAAATGATTTAATTACATGAAAAATGCAGAAGTACTGAAAATCAGAGAATTATATCGCTGAAATATAAGAACCGAAATAAAAATATACATTTTGTAAATATTTTTGAAATAAAGTGTTCAAATAAATCATTAGTACATCATTTTCAAATGAAATATTTATATTCAGTACTTTCATGACACACATGATGTACTTACTGCCTTCTTCTCCATAAATTAATAAATCATAAGGTAAAACATGGTGCTTGATTCGTTGGAATTAGTAAAGCGTTAAATCATAGAATCAATTGCGTAAATTTTCAATGAAATACATACTAAAAATGTTTTATTATTCAAGTTTTGAAAATTCATGACCAATGACCGTAGAATTGATTTTCCTCTATTTAAAATATCAATTCTGTTCACACTTCAAAAATTTTATTATTTTTACCAAACGAATTTCGAATCTTAGCAAAATAAAAAGTACTGCCATTTCATTTGTTGGAATTATTTGTTTCAAATCTTGTAGGCAAGTCATACAGCAGGAGGAAAAAAAAGAAAAGTGAAAGGTTTCAGATTTTAAATTACGTCCAAAGGGACGTTTTCGTAACATTTTGTCTGTTACCTTTATTTATAAAATAGTACGTTCTTCGTACCTAAGCCGTAAAATTCAGTTCAAGAGCAATACGGCAAAATAGTTTTAAATTGAGCCTATATTTAGAATTTTCGACTCTCGCGCGCTGGAGATAAAAATATTTTTTCTGTACAATGTTGCCATTGCTCGCTTTGAAATCCTTGAGTTTGTTAATTAAAAATTCGTTAAAGTTTAACAAAATATGGAATTGATAACAAACCAAGTTCCAAATTTATAATTTGGGCTTCCACATGCTCATTATCGCAGGAGGATCACGTCATTCAAAATTCGATGGCTCTATGTACCGTTGTTATCACAATGCGAGAAATATACATGCATTTATTTTTCATTATTTAATTTCTTCAAATATAATGCAGGACTCTAACATTTGGTGACAGCAGTTTGAAAAGTGAAACGGACATTTATAGTAACCCAACGCAAAATCGCAAAACGAAAACAATAGTTCTTCAGGAACAAAGCCCTTTGGACTTAAAAAAAAATTAAAAATTTTATATATTATTATATTTATTTATTTAATATTTTAAAATTTTTTTTATTTATTATATTATCATTAATTTCTATTAATCTTAAATCTGTCGCAGATCTGATACTAGAAGTCGAAGAACAGAAGTGAATTATAATAGTTTAAATAGTAAAATAATAATAATAGTTAAAAAAAAAAATTTTTTTTTAACTTTTTATTTTTAAAAACAATCAAAACTTTGTATTGGTCAATTTTTTAAAAATAATCTGAATTTTTACAGCTTTTTTAAATAGCGTAAATATATCATACAACCTTATTTCTTTATTTTATGATAAATAGTCTCCCTCCATTCACACTGAAATGTTACGTGAATACAAAAATACTTGCAGAACCGATTTACCAACGATTTGGCCAAAATGATACCAAAATTAAATTTTCAATACTTTCATTAGTTTAATTTTTATTAACTTGGTCTATATTTAAAGAATTAACTTTTAATTAACTTAAGAACCGTAACTAACGTTACAGTTTCATTGGCATTTTATATCTTAGGTATCCAAATTCCATGCAGACGACTTCTTACTTCTTTACTGGTTAGTGCCAAGGATAATGCAAGTAATTAAAAATGCATTTCTAAATGCGAGGTTTCTTTGAAAGCTGAAAATTATTTTAAAATGTCACCACTTCTAAAATACTGAAAAAATACGAGAATACTGAAACTTTGTAAATGTACCTAATTTAGTTCTTGAAGATTAGAGGTTTAAAAATTCATACTCCATACCTAAATTAACAACTTATGTCTGAAATTTTAAGGCTTCTTGAAAATGAAAACAGAAACACAGCACCTACTGTTTAAAAAAAAAAAAAAAAAAAAAAAAAAAAATATAAACATATCTTAAGAAATTTATGTTCGTGGAAGCAACAGCGATGATGTGGACACCGTATGACTTCCTTGTACGGCCTTCTCAATTATGCACATTTTTTTGCTGCACTTCATTTAAACTTATTTTCTCGAGTTAATTAACGATTCCTCAAGACACGTTGAAAATGACATCAAAAATTGCAAATTTTGAAATTAAATATTCTTGTCAATTTTTGTTGTCAGGAGTCAAACTTCTTGTATTTTTATTTTTTCATAATGAGTACTAAAACCTTCCCAAATATAATATATAGTATAGAAATCGGATTAGAAAAACATTTCTTCGATATACGAACTTCTAGTGGCCCATCTGCTCAACCAATCGAAGGAAAATTTCAGATATTGTTTTATGAAGGCATGGGCTCGAGATAGCCATGATTCAAAGCAATAGAGCTATAGTTCGACCGTCTCATCTGCGACCATTAACTTTTGCATGCGCCATTTGGATCGAATTATTCTCAAAATAGGGTGGAAGGGTGCGAACTTTCTTTCCCTCCATTTTCTCTTTCCGCAGATGAGGAAACTTTCACGTGAACTTTCAACATCGCAGCAAGTAATAACGCCCCTTTTGGACGAGTCTATGTGTTTTCACAGAATGCCAGCCATTGTTGCGTTTGAGACGGTCAAATTATATCACCATTAATGTTACGGTGAAAATATTTCGATATTTTTGAATGGCAACACTCATTTTTTTTTCCCTGTGGAAATTGATGAGCGCCTTGAAAAACCTATAAATGATGTTGCAACGAATACACCTATGACGAAAATTGTCGGTGTAAAGCATTTGCGAAGCAGAGCAATGTAAAGGACCAGGCTAAAACGAAACGCAAACGAAGAGAGGGGAAAAAAAAAAAAAAAAAATCTGAAATGTTTCAGATTTTAAATTTCGTCCAAAGGGGCGTTTTTTAACATTTTGTGTGTTACCTTTTCCTTTCTTTATTAAATATCATGTTCCTCGCACTTAAACCATAAGATCCAGTGCAAACAGCAATATCGCAAAATAGTTTTAAAACGAGCATATCTTTAGAATTTCCGATACAGAGACTCACGCGCTGGAGATAAAAATGTTTTTTTTTTTCTTTTTTCTGCACAACGTTTGCCATTGCTCGCTTTGAAATCCTTGAGTTTGTTAATCAAAAATTCGTCAAAGTTTTAAAAAATAGGAAATCGATCATAAAACAAATTTCAAATTTCAAATTTGGTCTTCCACATGCTCATATTCGTTGGAGGATTACGTTATTCAAAATTCGATGACTCTATGTACCGTTATTTTATGACAATGCGAGAAATATACATACATTTATGCAGATTTTTCATTATTTAATTTCTTCAAATATAATGCAGGACTCTAACATTTTATGGCAACAGTTTGAAAGTGAACCGACATTTATCCGTCCGACGCAAAATGCCAAAACGAAACTAATAGTCCTTCGGGATTCAAATCCCTTTGGACTAAAAAAAAAAAAAAAAAAAAAAAAAGAAGAAGAAGCTTTCATTGGGATTACAAGTTTACAACGTGCTCACCTTTGGAGACGATAATGCACTGCGTGCGGGAGATTGTTGACGACAATGACAAACGTAACATCGCAGGAGGAATCTGTATAATTTCACGTTGTATAGACTCCTCCAGTTCTGAAAGATCTCGTGGATTCGATGTGTATATCTTAGATTTCAGGTGAAACTAGAACCAGAAACTCATCGGAGTGAGATCGGGAGATCGCGGTGGCCACAAAGCTGCAAAGTTATGGGAAATGATTCTGTCTCCAAACTACTGTTGCAGCACTTGCCGACATGTGGAGGAACATCATCTTACATCCAGTTTCTCTAAGGGATTTTACGATTGTTGCCGGTTTTTGATATAACGGCAAATTAAAAATAAAGAGAGCGGAGAAAAATGCTAAGATCAACTCCACATACTATCAAAAATACATTTTATGCCCACATTTCAAATATGAAATACCTTCGCTTTCCACACAGTGTGATTAGTCGGCAGAACTGCATTAAGACAAAGTAAACAGCGACACGTCCAAATCAACTGTTAATTTCCTGGGAAAAAAATGGAACAAGAAACGGGTATCAAGGCCATGCCCTTCGCTCATATCCCTGTTAAATCTCCTGATCTATCACCAATGTATTTTTGTACTTTTGCACATTAAAAAAACCGAGTTGTCCAAAGATCGACATACCATCTCCTTAGACTTTGGAAAACTGTTCGAGAGCAATGGACTTGTTTGAAATTAATCAATTTCTTGACTTATTTAATAACTTCGGACGAATGGGTAATATATTTCACAGAGAGAAAGAGAAACTTTTTTAATTAACAACGAACTTATTTATTTAGCATTCGAAACATTACAAAAAGAATAACATTCCATGAGTTATTACGCTCAAAGCATATGTGAACAAAACAACACTGTTGCCACAAAAAAAAAATCTACATTATAATGAACATATTAAATTATTGTGTATTAACTGAGTTCGTGCACGTTCCTGAACAGGGATAAAATATCTCTTCCGATACTACAAAAGGCTTTACTGTCTTGGAAATTACGGTGTACAAAGATAAAGAAGAATAAGAGTTATCAAACAGAATATTTAAAACATAAAAATTTTAGGTAAAATATTTCTGTAATTACATTGAAAATCGTCTAAAAAATGTGCGAACTGCCATAGTACCTGTACATCTGATGCTAAAATTTTATTATAATACTGGGACTACTTTTTAATTAAGATATTATAACAGAATAAACATCGCACTTGGCAGAAAAATCAATTATTTTATGCATAGCAAGTAAAACTAACTCCGAGATAACATACGATAATTAACAGAACGATAAAGACAACGACGACACAAATTAAAACAGAAAGCAATAGTTTCTTGTTCTTTCAATCTCTCATTCTGTTTGTGGAATTTGACTTTCTTTTTAGTTATAGCTGAAGAAAGCGATAGAACTGAGCCTCTAAAAGCGCTTGTGCTAAAAAAAAAAAAAAAAAAAAAAAAAAAAAAAATCTTCGTCAGTTATCACTGTGTTTTCTTAGATTTGTTTAATACTGCTTCTTTATCATTATTTTACTTCTTTATACGCTACACAAACTGGAATGTGAGGAATGAAAAATCGCTGAGAAAAACCTTTTTCTTTATTTATATTTTGTTAACAACTTTTATGGAATTTAATTAAAAACAACTTTCCCATTAATGAAAAGAAAAGTATTTAGTTTTAGTCAAATGACAGTTTTTCACTAAACCACAAGCTTTAAATAAAAGTATTGTCTTTAAATTCTAAAACAAACAAATAATCGTATAAAAAGGGTTTTCAAGACATTTAAAATCCAGTGATTTTTTAAATTTCTTTAAACTATTATGGGTTATTAATATGTTTTGGA